TACGGCACTTTGACGCCAGATGGGATTAATGTTATGTCTCTGTTCACAGCTTGACCCTAGCTCCGCCCCTCCACGTTCTGACCTATCACAGTGAACTTTTTTCTCCCCCCTTTTTTCGCCGCTGCTTATTTAAACTCTCACTCATTTTTCTTCTCCCACACTTCTATTGCTGCCCACAGATACTACTTACCAGCTAAGTGCTATTTCTTATTTTTATAACGTTTTTTCTGTTGTTTTGTTCGCTGACGAAGGCTTTCTGCCGACACGTTCGCTGTTTTGTTGCGTTTAATTTGTCAGGTTTAACCATACTCTCTTTTACTCATTTTATTTTGTACTAACCTGATTGCAGTCTCTCCCCTTATTACCCCCCTTATGTTGAAAAAAGCATGTTCCACAGCACCAACAATGCCCTTTTGAGCATAAGAAATTAGCACCTACTCCTCAATAAAAAAGGATCCGACCAATAGCTGCAAGTAGATAGAGAGAGAGAGCTTATGCCAATTATTGCTCACACCGATAATAATTCCATTTTAAGACCTGAATTGTTAGATGAGGATGACGTTGACTTGTCTGGTATATAAGTTCCGCAAGATGAAAAAGATAAATCAGCTACTGTAGACTATGCCCATTTCAGGGGCGTCATTTCAGTTTTTTTTCAGGAAGGGAGGTAAGGGGGAGGACCAAAACTTGGATGGCTTTTCAAGTTGTTTATTGCTGGAGGCGCCACAGTGCAAAGCAATATTTTTTTTAAAAACCTGCAACTTCAGTGGGGTGGCTATGGCCCCCTGCCCTACCCAAATGATGTTCCTGGTGCCCATTGTTACGATAGAGCAACACCTGGCTACCACATTATGAAATAATAGCAGCTAGAAACAATACTATAATAGTCTGCTTTACTGATAATAATCATTTATGTACCGCAAACAATGATATGTAGACATCAACAAACTTTGAAATGATTCTGCATATTAAAATATACGTGTACTTTTGTTTAACTTGTTGATTAACAAGCTCAAGATGTAATAAAATGTTTTTCCTTCAATTTTATGTCATTAAAATAGATCAGCAAAAAGTAAAATGTATTTATAAATTTATTATATATTATAATTCTTTTTTTCGGGGGAGGGGGGGGGGTTGTTAAAATTTTGAAAGTTGTTCTGGGGGGAGGGGAGGGAGGTCAAAAATTGCGTAAACATTTTTGACGTAGTTAATGGACGACCCCTTGTCTGCAATGAAATTGAATTTTTAATCTGCAAATAACTACATACTGAAATAATTAACTCAAGTATTATTGAAACCTTAAAAACTTATTATATGTAAAAAAAAAAGTTGTGGAATTTTAAATGCTTCATACTTAATATAGCAAACGCCGTGTGCTCATTTATGTTAAGAGATGTCTTGTTAATACAGCTGTTGATTTCATTTATTTCATGCATATCAATGTTGTTGTTTTTTATGTTTTTTTTACATCTGAACATATAAATTTACATTTGATTCTCAGTTGCAACGAGTCTCAGGAAATCGTGTAATGAAATGTAAATTTTAATTGTCAAACTTGATTAATAATAATAAAATATTTTTTTTATTATACTTTTTTAAAAAGTTCCTGTTCATTTTTTTTGCTTTGTTGTAAATTTAACATATACATTGAAGTTGTAAATTTGTACTCCGTCTTCGCGAGACGATGGAGTAACTATAAAACTTCAAATGAGGCTTACAAGGTCGATCCTGGCATGGCAGTCTCGGCAGAACTACTCGCAGAGGAATCCTCACTACTTGTCAAATTTGACCCTGCATAATAATCTTTTGGTTGCAGCGACTTCATTTCGCACAACGTCTGTCTGTTTGACTCCTTCGACCACTGCTGTTTGCCAGCTGGGACGGTGATGATCTCCCATTCGTTGATTTCTATGTTGGCTTCCCTCGTGTTCCTTTGCCAAAGGTCTTTAAATAGAATCCGCGGTCATCCACAACGTCCTCTCCAAAAAGCAGATATTTTGGAATAAGGCCTTCCTCAAATCTTCTTATCTTGCCTAAACAGTGAAGGCGTCTCCCGGCGAAAAATGCAGACGATGCCACACATTTTTGACACATTCCAAAAACCTCTGTGTTACGCATTTTGCACTGCCATCGAATGCGCAAGATGCGACATAGACATCCTTGGTGGAAGCTTTTGAGTTTCCACCCATGACTGGCATGTGCCATATATATATAATATATATTTCATATTCATTAATATACATTAATGCCTTGGAATTATTTAGTTTTCTGTTGTTTTTTCTTTCAAAAGAAATTTCTAGTAAGGCTTGATGTAGCAGATTTTAAAACTAGACTAATGTGATTTTTTTTTTTTAAAAACGTTATTTTTTAGTCTAAATTGGAAGTGTGTTAGACACGCTATTTTGATTGTTTTTTTAAGTTATTTTTTTAAATATAAAAGAAATACGTTTTATTAATTTTATTATTATGTCAAAGGATTCTATAGATAAAGCTGCAATTAATATTTGGAAATATTGTATAGCGATCAAATAATATATACTGATATAGAATAATATTGTTTCAAGATAACGATAGAAAATATAATGAAACTAGGTCTTTAAAATATAACTTTATGTATTTTTGTTTTAAAAAAACATTGTTCAAACCTTATTATCTAAGCATTAAAAAGAGGTAAGACTACGATGCCAAAAGTTAAGTTGGCCTAGAAAAAGGGTGGTGGAGGTTGCTGTCCGCCCGAGGTGGCTTACTGCTTTTGGCAAGAGGTCGCTGGAGTGTTTTTCATAAAAGATCTTGTACTGGGCAATACAATGCCTAGCTTTGGGCTGATAGGTTCACTGCCCCGATATAGAACAATTTCAACCCATACCCCAGCCCTAAAGATTAAATTGTATGGGGAAACACTGTTCCTGGGTAAGTAATGTTCATAACAATTATATCTTTAAAATGAAATAATAAAGATTAATTCAGGTCGCAAATGGTATATTTTAAATTTTAAAGATAGAAAGGTTGAAAAATATGTCTCTGTAAAAAAACTAGAAATCTTTGCACGATATGCTTACAATTACAAGTAGAAAATATCATTCTTACTATTCTACATTCATTTTCTTGATTCAAATTTAACCCACAATCCATCATTAGCTTTAACCTGAATCTTGTTCAGATTAACCGGATACACCGTCTTGCTACACGGAACCGGGGTCAGCTTCTGTAAGATTGCTGCCACAGCTATCTTCAGCTCCACCATACCGAGTCTCATTCCAATGCAGTTCCTAGGACCTTGTTCGAAACCAAGATGGGCGAATGGGTGCCGTGATGCTTTTTTCTCGGGTGAAAACCGTTCAGGGTCAAACTTTGTCGGTTCTGGAAAGATCTCGGGGTCGTTGTGGATGGCGTAGACAGGCACTAGAACCGCCATGCCTTTTGGTATTGGGATACCTTGGACCTCGGTGTTCTGGACACATTTCCTGGTGATGAATATCCCCGGCGGAAACATCCTCATCGCCTCGTTGAGGCACATCTCGAGGTAACTCAGACCCTGGACGTTGTCGTGGTTAGGGAAAGCGTTTTTACATTTGTCGTCGATCTCAGCTTGAACTTTCTGACAACTATCCGGGTGGTTCGCCAGGAGGAAGAGAGTAAAGGACAGAACTATAGCCACTGTGTCGTAGCCAGCAAATATTAAGACGATAGCCTGGGCCTGAGAAGTGTCAAATGAATTAATTGTAATTAAAGCTAATTATATAAAATTTATGAGATAATATTTTTTTAAAAAAAAACGTTTATTATAGAAAGAAGTTGAATATACATTTTGTGTCATGCCATTTAAAGAATATCCCGATTAGCGACATTTAAAGATCAAATACTTAATTGGTGTTTTCTATAAACAAATTAATATTTCATTGCGTTATTTTAGGTTACTTGTTTATGAATTCATTCAAAGTCTGATTCCAAAGTATTTTAACATATTGTGGAATTATGAGTGAAGTCAAACTAAATGAGCTTACGTGGATTTCGGATCTCGTCAATTCAGTTTCACCTCCACCATGTCCACCATGTCCACCATGTCCACCATGTCCACCATCGCTGATAGCGGTCTCTACCTCCGCATGCATGACGAGATCTAGAAAGTCATTGATCTTTCCATTGAGACCTTCCCGTTTCCGGTGCTCAATCGCCAGATCTACGACATTAGCAAAATACTCCATGGACTTCTGCGGCAGGACGTTCAGCCCAAATTTAGATAACACTTGGGCTAGCTCCGGTAAAAATACCGTCAAGGTGAATAATAATTGATTTGGGTTGATCACCTTTTTGGCTTCAGTTGAAAATCTGTTTCTGGGATCTTTGAGAGTATTTACCTCCAAACCGAATCCTGTACTGGCGATGACGTCAAGGGTAAAGCTTGCGCAGATCTCCCTTAGTTCCAATTCTTCCCCTCTTTCCTGCTTGAGTTTTAAGTTGTCTAACATGACCGTTGCGTTCCTCTCAATGTGCGACGACATCTTCCTGATCCTGCCCGAGCTGAACGTGGGGCTGACCACGCCACGCACGTGCTTCCAGTGGTCCCCCCTGTAAGTTCAGCAGGTTGTCACGGAATGGCGGCTCGGTGGGTTGGATAAGCGTGTGGCGGTCAGCGAAGGAGTTGAAGTGTTTAACGAATATGTCTTTAACCAAGTCCAGGTCTCTGATGACGAGAATGGGTGTTCTTGAGTCGTACCATCCATACACCTAGAAATAGAACAACACATTTTATAACTATATTAATGTGTTCTTTCATAGCTACTAAAACATTTTCACCATGTCTGAATGAGAAGCTATTTTTTTTTTTTGGTTATCAAGTACTGTAACTTTAAGATGCACACGAATTTGAAAGAAGTAACTATGCAATGGATGGTTGTAATAGAAGCCATACATGTTCGTACTACTATGACTGCTTTGGAAGCTACAACTCATCAAAAAACAGTAATTTATAACTTTCAATTGAATGACGTGTCGCATAGATTAAATAATTAGTTATAATTTATTAAACAATAAAAGATGGTTGAAAAGCGCAGGCCTAAATTAACTGACACACTGATAGATTTTATTTGGTTTAAATGTTGTCATGAGGATACATATTATTAAGAAAGTTTTAAAAAATCAGGCTCTTAACACCCAGGCGTATATATACATTGTTAATTATAATATTTATTGATTCAAATGTTCAAACTCTGATCAATCTTATATGGTGCAGATTAATCACTTCCTCACAAAAACTCTGTTAAGTTAAATTTCATAATCTGACCAAATGTCTCTTTAAACCTTCCCTTGTTCAATGTTGTTTATAAATGCAACTATGACATTAATAGATCTGTTTGTAAGACTATAAAAATCATAATGGAATAATTATCGCTTTAATGTGGATCACTATTCTACTAATTTAATTTGCATAGCTATGCTACTGATTCCATGTGCATTGCTACCTTCTGATATTTAATCTGCATTGCCATGCTACTGATTTAATGGTCATCGCTATGCTATTGATTGAATGTGCATTACTATGTTACTAATTTAATGCGCATCGCTATGCTATTGATTTAATGTGCATTACTATGTTACTTATTTAATGCGCATCGCTATGCTATTGATTGAATGTGCATTACTATGTCAATTTAATGTGCATTACTATGTTACTAATTTAATGCGCATCGCTATGCTATTGATATATAAATATAAAATTCTTGAAACTAATCCAAAAAGATGGCATCAATGTCAATGTTTTACAGCTTTAAATATTTATGTTCTCCTGCTTACCTTCTTGTCTTTGAACTGATTGTAGAAGACTCTCTGTACTTCAAACACACCATACTTGATGGCTTGTCCAAAGTTTCCCAGAATCCAAGATGTTGGTGGTGTGTCAATGCCCATTTTCTTGAAGGTGTCATGGTTGGCAGACATAAATCTAACTGTCAAAATCACTGACAGTGCCAGGATGACGGCAAGAAATCCTGATACGATTTAAATTAAGTAAGGCGATAGTTGAACGCATCCTTACCCTTTATGTGAATTAAAGAGCCTTGATTATTCCAAGTTACAATATCACTCACATCAAAGTTGTTTAACACCCACAACGTGTCTTCGACCATGAGCAACTCTTCAAATGAACAGCTTTTGAAGGCCAGCTGTGCTGAATCCCCGGTCGGGCCAAGGCTGATAAAGGTAAAACCTATTGCACCTAACCGCGCAATGTCTCTTTGACGGTTCTCACACTGGGCTAAAATAAACATTGGTTTCACCAATGATCCGACTGACTCGAAGGTTTGAATGACGTTCGTGTTCGTCTAACTGAAACATGCCAATGGTTTGTCTAACTACCTACCTACCGATACCATTGGTTTGACCAATAACTAAAGATACACCAGGTTTGTCTATTTTTACATAGCAAATGGTTCTTCAATAATCATGATTTTACTTTATTGTTCAATATTAAATGTCCCCGGCAGCTGAATGCATAAGTAAAGTAAATCAAAAGTATCCACCTAACAAATATGGTTATGAATGTCGTAGTTATAGTTAACAAAAATTATCTTAAGTAATCAAAAACACATCGGAATGTATAAGGGCTGAAAGCTTATTGTTAAATAATGTATTGGTGAGTCACCACCCCCCCCCACCCCTTAAAAAACAAATATTTATTTTTCTATTCGGTAAAGGGTGCAGGGAGTTACTAAATTATGACGACTGAAATAGCTCTTCCATCCTTCCTCGCCCCCCTCCGCGCCCCCTCTCACCCGTTTGCCCTCAAAAATGTGTTTTTACATATTTCCATAATACTGTGAAATATTTTATCCCACATTTGAATTGCAAAAAAAAAAAAACGTAGACTTTGGAACGAGGCTGTGTTTGCACTTGAATGTAAGGCAGTGGTTCGCTTTGTGTTGAGCCTCTCTCTGTGTTCTCCAAATTAAAAGAGTTATTGATTGAAAGTAATGTGCATGGCTCAATGTTGTTTTTTTTTTGTTTTTGTTTTTTTTAAATTAATAAATTACTTTCTAGAAATAAGAACAAGTATCAATTTTTTTTTTTTTTTTAAAGTAAAAGCCTGTAAAAATATCACGGCAATAGTTCTTAACTGTCGTATCCAAACAGTAAGAGTAGTCTGTCTTGTGACACAATTTTGCGTAGGAACGAGGTGTGGGGGGGAGGGTCGACCCCGGCCGGCTCTTCCTTTTTTTCACTTTATACTAGATTGGTGGTATTTTCTTCCAATTGCAATTTGCAAAGCTTTTTCTTTCAATGTGGTGACAAAATGTTGAGACTGTCCCGAGTGGCACCAACCCTAGCTACGCCACTGAGCCCATAGTGTTTTTCTATGCGTGTGACGTCATTTGTTAACAAGTTTTTTGTAATGTTAATATGCGTTAAGATTCAACATTGTTGGATTAATACATGCACCTAGTGAAGTGTATTTGTATAGCAGACTAAATGACAAAACAATAAAGGTGTCCCGTTTTCAAATAGTACATCCCCTATCCAGTGTTGCTTTCATACATTTTTCCCCGGGGATTGGGGGGGGGTGGCATTTCAAATTTCGTGGGTGGGGCTGTGCTAGTTGCCATTGGGCAGTGGCCAGAGGTGTGGCTAAGTGGTGTCAAATGGGTCATGAATCACGGAGCGTCAGACTAGAGCGTGGCACCAAAATGGGCGTTGGTGATAATAATGTAAAATGATTAGTTTCAGAGTTAAAGGGTGAGAAGAGGGGGCATAAAAACATATCACGTCCCCTGACGCCAAACACTCTAGCCCCCCCCCCCCCTTTTTTTTGAGTGGCGTGCTAAGGAGAAGGATGAGGTTGTTTACCCAGGTATCACCTTTTCTTTATATGGAGGTGCAGCATTTTTGGACAACGCCACATTTTGTATAGTGAAAGAAAGAGCGGCCAAAAGTATTTGGCCCCCATGGTGACAATAATATTAGCTACGCCTCTTGAAAGTCTATCTATCCTCACCAGAATTAGAGATCATATTCATCCGGGTGTAGGGTAGAAAACGAGGGCGCCGATGAATATTGATTTTATCTATCAATAAAAGCAAGACAAAGAGGATAAAGGTAAACTCAACCAACGAAGAGCATATCACTCTGGTAGGATACGCACTGAAAAACGTGGAGTCATTTACATACGGAAGTGGATGTCAGAGCTAGAATTGGAAAGGCTAGTTCACCATTTGTGCTTTTAAAGAAAATAAGGTAGTAAAATTAATGAGCTGACTCTTCACCTGAAAGTAAAAAAATTCAATACAAATGTCCAAACAGTTCTACTCTATAGAGCGGACACTTGCAGAACAATAGTGAGCATTTCGCAGAAAGTACAGACCTTCATAAACACTTGCCTTAGAAAGATTCTTAACATAAAATGGTCAAACACCATCACCAACAATTACTTACTAGAAAGAACTATACCAGAAGCCTAATGCGGAAAACTTCATGAGGAAGAGATGGAGGTAGATAGGACACACTCTCCACAAAACACTAGATAACACCACCAGACAATCCATAACATGAAATCCACGAGGATAAAGATAAAGAGGAACTCGTAAAATACACGTAGACGTGAGCTAGAGGTTAGGGGTTGCGATCCGGGATCCCAAAATTCGAAAATACCGGAACACCGGACCATAATTGATAAAACCGGGATTGGATTTATGAAAACCGGAAAGAAATGGGGGACCCTGAAAAAAATAAAACTAAATTTGAAAAGCGTATGAAACTATCCGAAACAAAGACATCAGTTTGGTTTATTTCTTGAAAGCTACGGAGAATCTCTCAGCAAAATGTATTAGATGTAATAACATACTTAATACATTTAAAGTTAAAACTTTAGGCCTTCACTCTCATTTAAAGTCTGTACATTACAGTGACTACTTGGACGCATTTATAAGGCCAGATTGTGACTAGATGCGAAAACATACCGTGGATATTTAAAAAAGCTTGGTCAGACAGCGGAGTCCTCGTTGGAAATATCTACGAACAATGAAATTAAATATATTGGATCTGAGCACGATGAACTTGAACACACACTGCCGCTTAAGAGACAATTTGAAATTGAAATACAATGGAAACATCAGGCTCTGGATAACACTTCAAGACCAACGGATGGAAACATTGATACATTGGTAAAGATAGAAATAGCTTCATTTGAGAATGGTGGTTCAAGAGGAAAATATATAAAAATTGCGTACGATAGCCCAAGGTCTATTCCTCCGACAAGTGTGGAGTGAGAGCGGGTGTTCTCTTCATCGGGTTACTTTTGTAACTCTTTGCGGTCAATGTTAAGTGGCCAAACATTACACACTTTGTCATATTTACGATTTCATTATTTAAATTTTACCAAAGATTAAAACAACACCAGTTATTTTAATATTTGATTAATAAAACTATTTAAATTAAAAAAGTTAAGAATATTATTTTTGTTCGTTTGATTAAAGTCTGCAGTTAAATATTTGTGTTATTTTTAAAAGCTTATTAAAAATCAAAATATGATATTTTTCTGAATGTTTTTATTTCATTGATATCCAGAGCCGGCGCTAGTGGGGCGATGAAGTGGGAAGCGCATTGCCGTAGTCTATTTATTATATACCTAAGCCTACTTGTAGTTCCTAAACCAGTCAACACAATATTCGGAGTTATTCGGTAGTCAACTGTCTATAACGTGTCTTAATATCGTATCGGCGGAATATATAACGTCAACAGCCCCGCAAAATTCAATTAGCCCAAGACCCGCACCCTCCTAGCATCGGCCCTGATAAATCCTCACCTCTTATCTCGAATCTCGACTAAAAATTCTCGAAATATCCAAAATACCGGTATCGAAAATACCGGTTTTGGCAAAAGGGACCGGTTTTGCGACCCCTACTAGAGGTAGACACATAAAGTATGGTATACACATGAAGCGAAAATAAAGGAAAGCGCAGGGCCGAGATGATCCCAAAATTGTTTTAAACTATTTCAAAATCAATTTTTCTATTAGACTTTTTGATCAATGGAAGGAAATTTTAAGGGTGTGCGGAAAGGGGGGGGGAGGGGAATATGGTGCCAGTGTCATACATAAACTAAATTCACTTTAATTATGGCGTGCCACGGGGTAATCTTTAGACACGCGATTATATTCAACCCTATACTTGATATGACATTGATCGGCGTGGGGAGAGGGCTCTAGAAGTTAAGGGTGCTGAAGACAGGCGCGCAAATTCAAAATGCAAGGGTGCATTTTGGCGCATACTTGAATTCAATGTTACTTTCAGATAATTTGTTGGTGACATTTCAAACGTTCGCGGTGGACGGGCCAAAGTTAGCTATAATAATGATCAAAGACAAACTGAAAGCCGCACTACCGAAACTTGAACTAAATTCATCCCAGTTGTGGCGCCCTTGAGGGTATGCATTTCCCTAGCTAATATCGCCTTTAAAATCATTATAGTTCCATGAAATATTTTGATAAATTACAAATGAAGGAATTATTTTAGACAAATACTTGCATTTAGTTTTGCAACATGCTACACAACACTTACAATAATCAACTTACGTGAAATAATTACCTTCGCTTAATATTTCCCCAAGTTTTAACACGCTCAAAAAGGAAAAAAAAAACTGTTAGTAGAGGGGTCTATGAATTTTTATGGATTATCAAAGCGTATACGCAGTGGCGTAGCTAGGGTCGGTGTCACCCGGTGCGGTAAACTCGTGGTGTCACCCCCCCTCCCCCCATCTCCACTCCAACTTCAAAGATGGATTTGTTATAGTTGAAAAAAGTCCTAAGTATAACAATGAAAAGAACAAAAAACACATTAATTAAAGGTCAGAAGATAAATGTATTTAAGAACTGTATTTAAGGATTTATAGGAGCCAGAAAGATCAATAGATTGATCGAAGGCCCTCAAAATATAGAAGAAGAAGAAGTAAAAACGTTAAGTTAAAGTTATTTTTACATTAATTTTACTTTGGAATTCGATCGATCAGCTGCCTTTAGTGTCTCCTAAGCCTAGTATTTCTTTTAAAAGTTCATCTTCTGATAACTTATCATAGAAAGAGGTTAATTTTGGAACGGACACCAATAAC